TGGCATGGGAGGAGTAACGAGCGACTACAGCGTTGTACAGGGCTTTAGCAGTCTTGTGCTGGCCAAAGTGAGTGCGTTCGGCTAACGGCAGGTGGTTGCGAATGGCTAAGTGAGCAGCAGCATCACGGGTAAGCCACTGTGAGCAAGTCGCACTGTCAGCTGTGGCGGGAGGGGCGAGAGAGGCTCCAGACGTATGGTCAAACAACAAAATGATGTCTCTAGAATCGCTCAGTAGGTACAGCTGTAAGTCGTCGAGCCACGTATCGAACTGGATCGGACGACCCTCATGATCGAAGGTGAGTACACTGAGAGAAGCCATAGCGGGCAGAGTAGGGTGGCGCGTGACCAGCAGAGCAGCACGCAGGCAGGGCGGCGCGCGAGAACTAGGGAAGCGCGCAGGGCAGGGCAGGGCGGCGCACTGCTAGGGCGGCCAGCAGGGCGGCGCACAGCAGGGCGGGCAGCAGCAGGGCGGCCCGGGCAGGAGGGCGCCGGCCAGTAGGGCTGTGCGCAGCAGGGCAGGCAGCAGCCAGGCGGCGCAAGCCGGGCGGCGCAAGCAGGGCGGCATAAGCAGGGCAGCAGGACGGCGCAAGCAGGGCGACGCAAGCAGGGCGGCGCACGGGTGCGCAGGGCGACTCGCGGGCTGCAAGGGGCAGCGAGCGGGCTGCAAAAGGGCGGCGAGCGGGCTGCGAGAGGGCGTCGCGCAGGCTGCAAGGGGCGGCGCACGGGCTGCAAGGGGCGGCGAGCGGGCCGCAAACGGGTGGCGAGCGGGCTGCAGGGGTGGCTCGCGGGCTGCAGGAGCGGCGAGCGGGCTGCAGGGGCGGCGCGCGGGCGGCTAAAGGCTGTGCGCGGGCTGCAGGGGCGGCTCACGGGCTGCAGGGGCGGCGAGCGGGCTGCAGGGGCGGCGCTGGGGCTGCTAAAGGCGGCGCGCGGGCTGCAAAGGGCGGCGCGACGGGCTGCCAAGGGCGGCGCGCGGGCAGCTAAGGGCGGTACAACGACCAGTAGGGCGGCGCGGGAGTTAGGGTAGAGCAGCAGGGTAGCTAGTGGGGCAGCGCTCTGTGGTGGGCCCTAAAAAATATGGTCCTAGAACGGACCTGCTCTGAAACCATGGGTTTACGGGGCAAATTCAAAACTGCATCCTGAAATCAGGGTAATCATGATGTTTTGCCCTGATATCATGGGGCCTGATTGTCACCCTACTGTCTATATCGCACGCCTGCTGTGCGATGACGCGAAACCGCAGCGGATGCACGTCTGCGACGACTGCAGTTGCTGATGATGCGAAGCGGTAGTGGACAACGTATGGCGTGCGGCTGGCGCAGATCTGCATTGGCATGTGCACACTTCGTGCGGTAGAAGCGACGACCTGGCGTTCGTCAACGGCTGACGACCTGGTGCGCGTCTGCTACAGCATTTTCCTATCCGTGCCTACTGCATCTTTGTGAGCCTTTCTCCCCCTGGCTTTCTCTGTAAACCTTGCCTTTCTCCCCGTGCCGTGTGTTGTGATGACACAAATTTGTGCAAGTCTTTAATGCACGCCAAAGGATGATGCCAAGTCTCCTTGGAATTCACTCATAATGTCCTGTGTTTCTCCCCCCCAAACTCCAGCTGACGCACAAGAGCAGTAGGAGTTGCCGAACTCCATTAGCTTGAGGGTTGCGCATGTCGACTCCAAGTATGCGCACTTCAAGTATCCCGTGCACTCCAAGTATGCGGAAATTTGCACTCCAAGCACGCAGTGCCCACCAGGTATGCAGTGATTTGCTCACCAGGTATGCAGAAATGCGTGCTCTCATGTATGTTCACCATTCTTCTCTCAGGTGGTGCCGTTCATCAGCAGCAACCAGTCCCACGATACCGCTGCATCACGACGGATGACGAACGGCAACCGGCTGCATCCATTCCGCCTGCTCCCCCTGCCTATTGGCAACCCTTGGTTGACACTTATGCTTCTTGACTCCATGTCCCACTCCAGTGCCACCAGATACACTCCACACCCCACCTCCCCCCACCCATGTGCTTGTATCCATGCACGTGACCTCGTACACAGGTACAAGCACATGAGTGGGTGTGGAGTTAGGTGATGCCATGTTGTGTAGCACAGCTCGACGAGGCTGCACATGTGAGTAGAACACCAGCACCTTTGACTTGACGATCATCAGCAGATGGTACGCCCGTGTCAAACTTATATGCTATAGTCTGTTTAGGCTGTAGTGGGGTAGTCCTTACAGGGTACAACACTTTTAGGTTTCCTACATGTACCCACCTGCTTTCTAGTTCAGTCACTCATTCGCTCACATTCTAACATGGTATTCTGAGCAGGTTCCCTAGTGGGAACGTTTTTTTTTTTTGGGCCCACCACGATTTTTTTTCCTGCCCTGCCCAAAGCGCACCTCGCGCCTGTTTCACTTGCGCCGTCGCGCGCCCTGCCCTTGTGCCGCCCGTCGCAGCCCTGCCTTGGAGGCCCGTCGCAGCCCTGCCTTAGAGGCCCGTCGTGGCCCTACCCTAGTGCCGCCCGTTGCGGCCCTGCCTTAGAGGCCCGTCGCGGCCCTACCCTAGTGCCGCCCCTCGCGGCTCTGCCTTAGAGGCCCGTCGAGGCCCTGCCTTTGGGGCCCGTCACGGCCCTTCACCGCCCGTCGCGGCCCTTAGCCGCCCGTCGCGGCCCTGTTTTCGCCGCGTGCTGCGGCCCTGCCCAGCGGCCCTGCCTTCGCCGCCGCCACTGGCTCGTCCCGGCCCGTCCAGACCCGTCGCCGGCCTGTCCCGGCTCGTTGCCGCCCGTCGCCGGCCCGTCGTCGCCTGCCGCTGGCCTGTCGCCGCCTGTCGCTGGCCCGTCACTGGCCCGTTGCGGCCCTGCCTGTCGCCGCCCGTTGCGGCCCTGCCCTGCAGCCGCCCGCTGCGGCCCTGCCCTGCTGCCGCCCCAGTCGCGGCCCTGCCTGCACCTGCCTCTGGTAAGCACCCGCGCCGCCCTGCTACGCCGCGCCGCCAGGAGCCGAGCCGCCGAGCCGCGCCGCCCAGCCGAGCCGCGCCGCCCACTGTGCCCTACTGCCTCTGCTGCTACTGCTGCTACTGCTGCTACTGCTGTTACTGCTGCTACTACTGCTCCTACTGCTGCTATGGCTAACCCTACTGTTCTCACCTTTGATGCTGAGGGACGTGCAGTTGACTTTGACGTGTGGGTTGACGACCTGCAGCTCTTTCTTCAGTGTGATTCTAGGGATGGGGTATCCCTTTTCAATCACACGTCCGGTGTTTCTACTGCTCCTGCTGCCACTGCTGACAGTACGGTTCGCTCGCAGTGGACCACTCGTGACGCTGTTGCTCGTCTTGCTGTTCGTAGTCACCTGCTGCCCGCTGAGCGCGCGCATTTTGGCCAGTACAAGACTGCTCAGTCTTTGTACGACGCTGTAGTTACGCGCTACTCCTCCCCTGCCACTACTGCCCTCAGCCGCCTCATGCTGCCGTACCTTTTCCCTGACCTTGCCGCCTTTGCCACAGTCGCTGACCTAGTTGCTCACCTCCGCACTAGTGACGCCCGCTACCGCGCTGCCCTTCCCACTGAGTTCTGTGCCAAGAACCCCCCCCCCTAAGTACATCACCCTTTACTACCTAGTCACCCACCTCTCTGACTCCCTTTCTTCAGTCAGGGACCACTTTCTCTCCCTTTGCCCCACCAAGCTGACTATCGACCTGCTAGAGGAGCACCTTGCTGCAGCTGAGAAGAGTATCTTAGCTGTAGGTGCTTCTCGCGGCGACCGTCGCACCCCTTTCTTTGAGGGGTGTTCCCCTGTCCCCCTTCTCCCCTCTGTTGCTTCTGCTGCTGCTGTCGACCTCGTTGGCACTGAGGAGGTCGGAGCTGCGTCTGCCCCTAGTGGGAGACGCCGCAACAGCAAGGGCAAGGGGAGCAAGGGTGGTGGAGGGGGCGGCGGGGGAGGCGGTGGAGGAGGTGGAGGAGGTGGAGGGGGTGGCAGTGGAGGTGGGGGTGGTACCGGGAGTGGGGGCTTCAGTGGCGGCGGTGGAGGTGGTGGAGGCAGCGACAGCGGTGGTGGAGGTGGCGGCGGCGGTGGTGCTGGTCGAGGTGCAGCCGCGCAGCGCAGAGTTGTTCTCACTGGTCACGCTGACGCCTCCTGGGTTGACGACTTGGCTACGCAGCGGTCGTCACAGGGTTAGGCTACCCGGATGATGAACAAGTGATACAGCAAGGTATTTATGCATCCATCTACCCCTCCCATAATGGTCCATTCACACCAATAATGGTGTACCGTAAGCCCCCGGATAGAAGCGCCCCTGGGGGTATAAAAAAGCAATGTTTTTTAGGGGGTGCGCTTATAATCGAGGATTTTTATAAGCGTTGGCGCTTATATAATGACATTTATGAAATGCGTATTTCTTACACCAAATTGTAGATCACGTTCTTGCAATTTGAATCGTGTCGAAACTATACAAGGCTCGAATTGAGAATCTTGTGCCAGTTGGCAGGGAATGATTCCCTGCCAACACACACAGTCAGAATGAGTCAACTTACACTGCCGACAGCTCATTCTGACTGGACGCGCAGGCAATGAGCCGAGCGAGGTGAAGGGCATCAAAATTCAATAATGTGGGAATGGAAAATGTGAGTTTCATTACAACGATTTCAGTACAATTATAGCAAAAACAAACAGAGGGTGGCGCTTATAATCCGTAAGCCTTCAGGGGTGGGCTTATAATCGAGGACCGGATATAAGCGCCCTCATCCTTTTATAAGCGCCGGCGCTTATCCGAGGCCTGCGCTTATATCCGGGGGCTTACGGTACCAGTAATTCTACCCTCTACCCTCCAATAATGCTTAACTCCAATAATTCTGGCCCTACAATAATCGTGACAATTATTGTAGGACCTAGAGGCTTATAACGAGGACTACACTAAAACCGAACAGCATACCAGTATACAGTATTCGTTATACTGTATTTGGATTTCCAACAGTAATAATGCCGTGGAATTGCTGTTTCTGAGAAGGCTTATGTTTAGTTTGTTTCATCGTTGAGTGTTACATCGAAGGTCACAGGGGGCCGGTTGGGCAAGGGCTGTTCGAGATGAGACGCGTTGAGCCCTGCCTGTGCCAGCTGCGCCAGCAGAATGCGGCCCCGCCTGTTGCGGTAGCGCGGAGAGAACTCCCCCCTCACCCGCCGCGCCACGGCCCGCCACACCATGTCCTCTGCTCCACTGGGGCGTGGGGGGAAGGAGTAGATGAAGTGATGCGTCACCTGTGAGGCAGGGATGTGTGGTGGGATGGTAAAGAGACAGCATGAGGCGCAGCAGGGTGGTTGGGGTGCCCTCATGCCATGCAGTGGTTCGTCCAACCACAGCACTGGCAGCACTGCATGATGCATCAGTACCAGCCAGCACGGGCGTGTGTGAGTGCGCTGCTGCTGCGAATGGTGGCACATGCACCGCACACACCCACGGAGCAGCTCTAAGAAAGCTGCACACGTTCCCCTCAACCACCTCTCGTACTGCCCCTCACAGATAGTACCAGCATAAGGAACCCTTCGCACACCCAGCAAGCACCCCATCACACCCACCACGCTCCCCTCTCGCCTATCACCTTCCGCACTGCCTCCAACTGCTGTCGCCACACAGCCTCTGTCGCCCGCACGATCCCCCCCCCCATCTCGCCTCTCACCTTCCGCATGGCCACCCACTGCTGCCGCCACACGGCCTCTGTCTGTGTGTGCAGCACGCCTAGGATGTACCCCGGGCGCACAGCGAGGGCGGCGGGGAGGAGCAGCGAGAAGGCGGAGTAGTCGATGACGTCCTCAAAGGGCGGGTCGAGTGCATCGCTGATTATCACTGGGATGCAGCCTGATAGTATGGCGTCAAACAGACGACAGCTGGACGAGGTGTCACCTGCGAGGAGGAGACAGGGGGAGGGAGAGGGGTGGGTAGGAGCAGTGCGAAGGCGGTGTAGCCAATGGCGTCCTCAAAGGGCGGGTCGAGTGCATCGCTGATGATCACTGGGATGCAGCCTGATAGTATGGCGTCAAACAGACGACAGCTGGACGAGGTGTCACCTGTGAGGGGGAGGGGTAGTGGTAGTGGTAGGGGGAGAAGGTGACAAGGAGGAAGAGAGAGAAGAAGACGGGTTGCGGGAGTGGACAACGAGGGAAAGAGAGGGGCAGCAAGGGTATCAGCAAAATCCAATCCCTCCCTCCCCTTCGTGTACGTGTAGCAACTCACCCTCACAATGCATCTTGCCTCACCTCGCGGCACCAGGCAGTACTTGGCTTGGCGCATGGCGGTGCCGGCCTGAGCCGTCATGCTGCTGTTCTCCGCCCGCCCCACCCTAAACTCCACCCCCGCCTGCCCCTGCAGCTCCCGCTGCACTTGCTGCCGAATGATGCCGCCCTGTGGGAGGGGGGAGGGAGGAGGCAGGGAAATGAGAAATGAAGGGAAGGTTACGGAAGAGGATGAGGGGTTGGTGAGGTGGTGAGGCACTGGGATGGCAGGCAGGCAGGTGGAGGAGCGAGCAGTGCTGCAGAGGCGGATGTGCATGGCTGGTGAGAGTGAGTGAGCGAACGAGGCAAGGCCACTGACCCCCCAGCGGTCGGTGGTGCCTTGAAAGAAGAGCAGCAGGGGCCGCGAGGCCCACGAGCCACGGTCGTGAGAGAAGGGCGCCACCAGCGGCACGTACGGCACCATCACATCTCGGACGTATGATGCTGCCTGTGAGGGGTAGGGGTGGTTCGGGTACAGACGACGGGAAGGAAGGCAGCACAGGAGCGCGAGGAGCATGGAGGAGGGCGTTGAATGGAAAGGGGGCAGCACACGGAGCAGACATGAAGGGCAGCTGAGTCAGTGCACATGTGGGTTCAGTGCAGTTGACACGCACGTGCCGCAGCACATGCAACATCACACATCTCTCACCTGAACCCCGTGCAGGTCTCACCTGCACAAGCACATACATCTCATCTCACCTGCACAAGCACATACATCTCACCTCACCTGCACAAGCACATACATCTCATCTCACCTGCACAAGCACATACATCTCATCTCACCTGAGACCAGTGCAGGTCCAGGTCGACAGCGAGCTTGATGGCAGCAGCGAGGGGCAGCGAGTGGTTGAACATGGCCAGGGGGTACACACACGGCACCACCAGGGTGGGCATGCGCCCTGCCTGTCTTCCACTGCTCTCGCTGCCTGTGCTGTCGCTGCTGCCCCCACTGCCGTGACTGGTGTTGGCTGCGCTGCTGGCGAGTGTGGCGGCGTGGCGGCGGGCGAATCGCGCGATGATGGGGTCCAGGATCTCACTGGCGTGCCAGGGGAGGGGATGAGATGGGATGGGGGGAAGGGAGAGGGGAGAATGCAGGAGAGACGTGAGGGTGATGAGAAGCACACGATAGAATCAGTTGCAGGGATGGGTCAGCCAGAACCGAGGGGTACGATTTGTTGCCCGTGGTGGTGGCGGAGGCAATGGGGCAGGGGGCACCTGGCGTTGGTGCGGAAGGCGAGTGTGGACCAGTAGGGCAGAAAGATGGCTTCTGCCTCCTCCACTCGCTGCATGCGCTGCACTGCTGCCGTGCCTGGCGGGCTCAGGGATGCATCACAGTCGTGGGGAAGAGAGGGCAGCACGGAGGGGAGAGAGAGTGAGGGGCAAGGTGGCAACGTGGCGGGTTGAGAAAGAGCAAGGTGAGAGGCAAGCAGAGAAAGTGAGGGTAAGTGTAAGTGAAGTGGTACTGGTGAGGAAGGAGAGGGGGGTACCTGAGAGGAGAGAGGGGGGGGTACCTGAGAGGAGGGAGAGAGTGAGAAAGTATTCGGCTCCGTGCTGGCGGTAGTAAGGGTAGTCAGGGTAGCATGGCACGCTCACATCCACCGCCCCATCTGTCCCCGCCAGCGCTGCTCCTTCTGCTGTTGCCTCCGGTAATGCTGCTGCTGCTGGCGGTGATGGTGATGGTGAGAGGGGCACAGGCAGGTCTGGCAGGTCCGGCGTGTGGAGGAGCGGCAGCAGGTGCGGTGAGAGGGTGGTGGGGCCGCTGCTGCCGCCACTGGCAGGGGATGCAGCAGGGGGGAGGGTCGAGGAGGAGGTGGAGGAGGAATAGGAGGGGTGGGAGGGTGGGGGGGAGTGCAGCCAGGAGAGGGGCACGGCGTGAGGCGAGTGGAGGGGCACGGTGCACGGCAGGGAGGGCGGGGAGGCGGGAGGCAGGGCTGCTGGTGGCAGCAATGACTGCGGCCCTTCCAGTGGGCACATGCGGGGGGAAAGGCCGAGGGGTATGGGGACAGGGGGGAGGGAGAAGAGGGTAGGGAAAACGAGGGGGGGAATAGAGGCGTGTGACAAGGGAAGGGAGTGTGGGGTCGAACCACATGTGCCAGGGGGAAGGTGGCCAGAGGGTACCGCCAGGGGAGTCACGAGGGGCGCGAGTCACCTGCGCGAGCGGGATGAGGTCGACGTTGTACGGCGCTGGCAGCAGCACCACATACACCCTCAGCGGCCGCTCCCCCTCGCTGCTCCCACCAAACCCACTGCACTCCCCGTCACTCGTGCCCGCACATCCGCCGAATTCCGGCGACTGGGGGCGAATTCGAGCGCGCAGCAGCGACGCCGTCAGCAGCAGGAGCAGCGCGACGCACGACGCGGGGATGGAGCGCCGCAGCCACGTGCGCGACGCTGACGTGGAACTTCCGCCACGCGCTGCGCGAGAAGGCGCGTGGGATCGGGCAGGGTGCTTGGAAGCGGTCGGCGTGGATCGCGGAGCAAGGCGGAGGAGAGAGGGCGCCATGGCTGCCGCTGGGGGCGCGATACGGACGGCATTAATCTGCGACTAGTCTGCGAGGCATGCGTGCAGTGGGAGGGAATTATGGTCTTACTGGCAGCGATGCTGACGGACGTTGCCGCACATGCGATGCGAATGCTCGAGGGCGGCAAGGACGAGGTGGAAAGACTCATGAGTGGCTGCACTGGCGCGATGGAGCTGGACTCGACGGGGTGATTGTGGTGGCAGCTGCAATTCGTGGCGGTGGTGGTGGGGTGGGGTGCACTGCATTCTGGCTTGGATGGGGAGCGGAAGCGAGATGGGGCCCGGTTTCGAGGTTTGAATAGCCTGATGACCATACATAGGAACATATAGTCTTCTATGTTCCCTTTGGTCAAGGGATTTAGAAAAAAATGCAGAAGAGGAGGGTGAGAGGGTAGGTAAAGGTAAGGACGCGGTGAAAGTAGACACTCGATCGTCAGTCACAATTGATGTGCGGATTGGTTTGTCAGAATAGTGAACGAGAATGAATGCATTGAGCAGAAAATTGGTACCAAGTACTGACCCTAATTGGGTTGTACCCCTTATGGGCTACCCCATTGCTGTCAAACTAACGAACGAGAATGAATGAACTATGAAAGAGTTGTGTACAAGTACTAACCCTAACTGGGTTGTACTCCTTATGGGCTACCCCACTATAACCTACACAAAGTAAGCAATATAACATTTTGACACACCCCCATCGGCAAAGTGGAGGAGAACAAGTGGTCACAAGACCGGTCAAGAAAAGCAAAGCAAGTTCAGGGTGGATGACAAAGTCACCACACATTCCGAGCACAAACAAAGGCCACAAGACCAATTCACATGCAGAGTTACGGTATATAAAAGAGAACATACGGTACAGTGATCATACCCTAGCAAGTGTAAGCATGCATGTATATATATAGATCACAGTACAAGCAAAGTCACGCAGTGAGGAAGCGAGGCGTGTCAAACATTCTGAGTCTGCTGTTGCACGGTCTCCTTGGAGTAGCCGCCTTCGTCCGCGTGTGCCTCTCACCTCACAGCAACTGTACGACTGGTACGGTCGCCGTCAGGGTCGCGCTTCTGGAGCTCGGGGCTCTGCCGCTGGAGGTACTTCTGCTGACGTCACTGGAGCTGGGAGTGGTGCTGGTCCCGGAGGTGCTCGTACTGGAGGTACTAGAGCTGCTGGGGCTGGAGGTGCTGAGCTTGAGGGTGCTGCTGCTGGAGACACTGAGGCTGGAGACCCTGGGACTGGAGGTGCCGGTTCTGGGGGTGCTGCTGCTGGTGGAGCTGGTCCTGGAGGAGCTGGAGCTGAGGGTTCTGGAGCTGCTGGAGGTGCTGGGACTGCTGGGGGTGCTGGAGCTGCTGGTGCTGGTCGCACTGCACAGCCGCGCCTATTCTTTGCTTCACCGTCTCCGTCGTCTCAGCCACCGTCTGACTCTGTGCTTCGCCAGGTTCTTAGTCTCCCTTCGTCTACTGGTCTTCCGTTACAGCCTGGCTCACCGCTGCCTGCTCCTTCTCCTTACACTGAGCAGACAGGGGGTCTTACTGAGCGTCGTGAGCCTACGTCGCGTCCTGTCTCGCCTGTCCGTTCTGGTCGTTCCGGTCGTCGTGTTCCTCGTTCGTGTCAGCCGGCTGTCCCCGGCACCCACCTTGTAGTCCGTCGTCCTTCCTCTCCTCCGCAGAGTGTTCCCCTGCCGTCCCCTCCTGCGTCTTCTCTACCTACCGTTCCTGAGCCTGAGTCTGACCGCGCTCATGCTGCTCACCCTACTGTCACGCGTCTGCTAGCCACAGTTGTCACTGACCCGTCGTTTGAGTCTACTGCTGCGTCTGCCTTAGTCGCTGAACTTGTTGACTTTGCTGCTGCCTGTCGTCTAGACTACGCCGCTAGTCTTGTTGCTGAGTCTGCGTCTGTCTGTCCTCCGTCCGTCGGGGGTGAGTGTGCTCTTGGCACGGACGTCCTTGAGGACAGACAGGAGGACCTTGAGTGTCTTGCAGCCGCTGCGCCTCATCTCGTGTCCATGCTGCTTGCCCCTGAGGGAGACCCGGATGCTCCAGACATCCCGACCCCGCGCTCTTACGCAGAGGCGATTACGGGTCCTTACTCCTCTCAGTGGCAGACAGCCATGGACGCAGAGATGGCATCCTGGAAGCCCACAGGCACCTACGTCGACGAGGTTCCCCCTCCTGGGGCGAACATCGTCTGTGGCATGTGGATTTTCAGGGTGAAGCGGCCGCCAGGTTCTCCGCCTGTCTTCAAGGCTCGTTATGTTGCTCGAGGTTTCAGTCAGCGAGAGGGAGTTGACTTCTTCCAGACCTTCTCTCCCACCCCGAAGATGACCACTCTTTGGGTGCTGCTGCACGTTGCCGCTCAACGTGACTACGAGCTTCACTCTCTTGACTTCAGCACAGCTTTCTTGCAGGGAAGCCTGCACGAGGAGATCTGGCTGCGCCGCCCGCCTGGCTTCACTGGGTCGTTCCCTCCTGGTACCCAGTGGAGCCTCCGGCGGCCGGTCTACGGTCTCCGCCAGGCGCCACGTGAGTGGCACGACACACTGAGGACGACACTTGCGGCTCTTGGGTTTGCTCCGTCGACTGCTGACCCGTCGCTGTTTCTGCGCACCGACACTTCGCTGCCGCTGTTCTACATCCTCGTGTACGTCGACGACTTGGTCTTTGCCACTGCTGACACTGAGGCTCTCGCCCTGGTGAAGTCGGAGCTGCAGAAGAGACACACGTGCACAGACCTGGGTGAACTGCGCAGCTACCTTGGCTTGCAGATCACCCGGGACAGAGCACGCCGCACCATCACACTGACTCAGTCACACATGGTGCAGCAGGTCCTTCAGCGCTTCGGCTTCACCTGGTCCTCAGCATAGGCCACTCCTCTGGCTACAGTTCACTCGCTCTCAGCTCCACCTTCGGACGAGTCCATAGAGCCGAGTGGTCCTTACCCAGAGCTAGTGGGCTGCCTCATGTACTTGATGACGTGCACACGACCTGACCTTGCGTACCCTCTTGGCCTTCTGGCTCGCTACTAGGCTCCTGGTCGGCACCGAAAGGTGTACTGGGATGCTGCGAAGAGGGTGTTGCGCTACTTGTGCAGTACATCGGGCATGGGGTTCGTGCTTGGAGGACGGGGCGACGTTGTCTTCACTGGTCACTCGGACTCTTCTAGGGTTGACGACCAGGCTACGCAGCGGTCGTCACAGGGTTACACCTTCAGCCTTGGCTCTGGTTCAGTTTCTTGGCGTTCTACACGCTCGTCTTCAGTTCTCAGCTCCAGTTGTGAGGCTGAGAACTACGCCACAGCAATGGCTGCACAGGAGTTACGCTGGCTCACCTACGTGCTGACCAACTTGGGAGAGCGGCCTCGTTCTCCTCCAGTGCTGTACGTCGACAACAAGGCTGCCATTGCCTTGTGTCAGGAGCACAGACTTGAGCACAGAACGAAGCACATCGCTCTGCGTTACTTCTTGGCTCGAGAGTTGCAGCTGCGTGGTCAGCTTCGTCTTGCACACATGGCCACTTGGGCCAACACTGCTGATATATTCACCAAGGCGCTTCCGCCTGGTGATCATCAGCGTTTCTGCACTTTGTTAGGCCTTGTTCCCACGCTTCCTCACTTGCTGTAGGCTTTGTTTGTACTGTGATCTATATGCTTGCTCTTGTAGGTAGATATCACTGTGCTGTTGTTGTTACACATATATCTCTACATGTGAACTGGCCTTGTGGCCTTTTGCTTGTGCTCAGACTGCGTGGTGACGTTGTGATCCACCCTGAGCTTGTTTTGCACTCGCTGTCTGGCCTTGTTACCCTCTGTTCTCCCCCCACTTTGCCTATGGGGGTGTGTCAAACGTATGTTTATATGTTATAGTTTAGTTAGGCTTTAGTGGGGTACTCACTGTGGGGTACAACCCCTTGGGTTTTCATTTTGTACCAACACTCTCGATAGTCGATCACTTCTCCCTTTACTCTCGACAAGGCGAAGTATGTACAAGGCCTAAAACAGTACAGAAACACTGATCATCACCAGACTGAAGTGCCTTGGTGAATATATCAGCAGTGTTGGCCCAAGTGGCCACGTACGCAAGACTCAGTTGACCACGCTGGTGCAACTCTCGAGCAAGGAAGTAACGCAGAGCGATATGCTTCGTTCTGTGCTCCAGTCTGTGCTCCTGACATAAGGCAATCATAGCCTTGTTGTCTACGTACAGATTTGGAGAAGAACGAGGCCGCTCTCCCAAGTCAGTCAGCAGGTAGGTGGGCCAGCGAAGCTCCTGTGCAGCCATGGCCCCTGCGTAGATCTCAGCCTCACAACTGGAACCGAGAACAGAAGACGAGCGGGTAGACCGCCAAGAAACAGAGCCGGAGCCAAAGCTGAATGTGTAACCCTGCGACAACCGCTGCGTAGCCAAGTCGTCAACCCAAGAAGCGTCTGCGTGTCCAATGAGGACAACTAGACCCCATCCTC